TTTTAATACTAATTAAATCATAAATTTTCATAGAAGGATCCAGCTTTTTAGTATAATAGAAAAACCTATGATTTGTTTCCTAAAAGATGTTTTTTGTTCGATAAATAGCGCTGTGCAATATTAAAACTGAATTTAAGAATTGAAAATCGCAGTAAGCAGTAAATGTGTGGTTTGTTAATTTTTTTTATATCTAAAGCCTTCAGTAACAATTCAATAAAACAGAGTTACTTCTCGATCATGATTGTTCAAGCAATTAGTAAAAATTGCAAATTCGCAGTCAAATTATTTGTATCTGCAATTTTTGTTGTTTTCTAAAGATGCAAATAAAAAAACACGTAATAAATATTTTTTGACAATCTACCTAACAGACTACATCGAATTAATACACCTAGGAATAGAACTATTTCAATTTTCTCGTAAGTATAGTGACTTTCGTTTGCTATGAAACTATCCTTATTTTTTTATCTGGACCACTTTTTTTAGCTTTCGATAATTAATGGAAGGAAACTTTAATACACCGCCACAGTGCCATTATTAATATTATTATTATTACCATTATTGTTATTATTGTTATTATTGTTATTATTGTTATTATTATTATTATTTTGTATTAAAAATCAAATATTCATTATTTAATCCGGTTTCCGAATTATTTGTATCTTTATAGGAATTAATAAATCAACATGTGCTTTATCGATATTTATGTTACCTCGTGTAGTACACTTAGTAGAAAATGTATTAGATAATTTAAAAAAGAAAGTAAAAGTTTGCCGGAATACCACGTTTATCATGCATAACATGAAGAAAAACGCACTTTTCGTCGAATTTTCATTTTTCGTGCAAAATTAGGGACGAAAATAATCAGATTTTTCAGATTTCCATTAAAAAAAAAAAAAACCCTTTTCAATTATACTTTTTGAATACATTTTCGTTATACTACAATCTGTGGGTGTCAATAAGAAAATTAAAAAAAATATATTCAGAGTTAATTTTCTTACATTGAGAAACAATAACTGACCTGAAGGTTTAGAAAAATAAAAAATAAAATAAAATAAACAATTTCATAGGGATACTTTTTTTTCATTCCAAAATGTTCAATACTTTAAATAATTATTGTAGTACTTTTGTGAGGGACATTCAACTCAAGATATTTTAACCTCGTGCCCGTTATTTTATCTGACGTTATCGCTCACACACTCCACTTTACGACTCTTTCGTTTTTATTTTATTTTTTTACTTTTTCTAAATTTCAAGTACAGGCTCCTGGAATTAATAACTTTAGGATACTGAAATGCGAGTTAATTTAAAAATTAATTATTTAACTTTACATCGTTAACAACGTTTTAAGTCCTTAAATAAACAAGGAACATAAAGGAAATAAGACATTTTTTTTAGAAACATATTTATTTCACTTTTCATTACTTGTATTTGGAAGTAACAAATTTTCTGAAAGCCATTAGAATCTAAAGTATTTTCATAGTAAGCAGTAGTACTGCTTTTAAATAAAATGTACATTAAGCTATTTGTCAAAGTAATAAAAATGTTTCAAAATCTTAGGTATAAAGACGTATAGTAAAAAATTTACCATAAGATGTTATAATCTGTAATAACAAACAATTTCTTCATTACACGGATGACAATTTACTCAAGTTTAATACACATACAGTGTAACTGTGTAAAAACTATGAGATTTTTGCCTCCTTGTATACTATAACGTTACAAAATATCACATCTTTAATTGACTATTTAGCACATGACACACTTGTAAGTGTAAATGTCTATAAAAATACATTCTCTTCAATCATTTGTCTTACACTATAAATATTTCGTTCCAATTCTCATCATATGTAACGTAAAATGTCGTGTTCCAAAATTATATTAACAAGTACAAATCAAACTAAAAACAAATGGTCCAGAAAAACGTACATATGCAGTCAAATAAATTACAATGCCACAAAATACTTCGCGATTAGAAAATTAATCACGGTAAGTATAAGGATTTGAACTAGAGGGAAATTTGTTGCTGATTTGTTTAAATGTGGAGAAGTAACGGTGCTCACTTCATCAGGATGCTGCTGTAGTGCTTCTTGTTTTGGCAATACTAAGATTTTTGGTGATCCGGTTGTGGGTTCGTGGGTTACCCTATCGCTCCATTTTAGGACGAGTTTTTCCGTAAAATCGACCGACAAACTCCTTACTTCAAGAAGCTGCAAAAGGCACAAATAGTTGAAAAATACTTTGGGGATATAAGAAAAAAAAAAACTGCTTTGCTTATTAAATTTGTAACTTACAAGTAAATCATTGTCATAGTTAAACTCCACTTCTTTGCCATTCAGGTATACTTCTCTCACAATATTGGAAATACCCATCACGGTTATTTTTCCTAATTTCATGGTGCTATTTTTATAAGCACCATCAACTACAAGACTCGTCAGAACACTATCTGTCACTTCAAACTCGAACAAATTATACTGCTTGGTCTCGATGGAGTCTTAAAATATGGAAACGTTGAATTTTGTTTTGTTGGTATATTTAAACATGGGGAAGAAACATAAAATAATTTAACCTTACCCAAACTATCTCCGTCATCCCAATACAATTCACCTTTGGCATTTTCTCGTTCATCTAAAGCTACTAACAAACTGAATGGTTTTTGGCGACTCAAAGTGGTTGTAAGACTTGGCTCTTGAACAGGTAAAATACATCCACCACGAACGAACAATGGAATAGTATCTAATGGCGCGTCGAATGTGTAATTTTTGCCGATGGAAAATGAAGAATCGCCCGAGTACAAACTGTACCAGACACCTCTCGGCATGTACGCGTCAACATCAGTCTTATTCTAGGATACATTTTTGCAAGTTTAATTGAAATTTACGTCCAAAGTAACATATCAGTTTTTTCGTTCAAATATACGTTTTAACTTACCTCTTCCAACACTGGTACAATCATAAGACAGCTACCCCACAAAAATTGCGAATCAACGTCGTACGTCTTTGGATCATCATAAAATCTAAATAAATAAATACATAAAAAAAAAGTATTAAACACATCAGCAAGCAATGTATGAAGTAGATAAATGTACTAACTCAATAAAGAGAGGGCGAGCCACAGTTTCCGCGTACATATGCGCACGGTAGAACAGGGTGTACAAGTATGGCAATAAGTAATATCTTGTTCTCAATGCTTTTCTAGAAGACGTGACGACCAACTGGCCCATAGAAACTGGATCTTGGTCCTTGACAATCAATGCGAAAGTTAAAGTAATTAAAATAAAAATTAAAAAATGACATGCCTTACAATGGTATCGTCGGAATTGTGATTTCGCGAGAACGGATAAAAAGCTCCTAATTGCATCCAGCGATTGCAAAGAGCCTCGGTTGTATTGCCATTGAAGCCGCATATGTCCGCTCCAACCATTGGAATTTGAAACAAACTGAAGGCTAATACTTCCGGAACGCTCATTCTCAAATCGTGCCTGAAGTAAACGTAAATTAGTTGTATGGTTATTATTGCTTTAATGAATAATCAGTTGAAATTGTTATTTAAAAAAATATTCACCATCGAGAGTATACATCGCCAGTCCAGTGACCTGCGTAATGGCCATGGCCTTCCCACGTGGATCGGGATATGATGAATGGACGCTTGTTACGGATTTTTTTCAAAGCGCTAAAATAACAGCGGAATTCGTTATTTCGGAAGCATTAAGCCATAAAACGCGGATACAATTTGTTACTCAAAATACTTACTGGTTGACAACAACGGCTTGACTCGTGCCATAAACATTGTGAAGATCGTAATGGTTTCCGAGGTATTGTTTGGAGTTCATGCAAAGAGTTTTAGTGGCCAATAAGTCTCCGTTCACCTGGGGAAGGTAAGGCGGATTGTCGAGTGGATTAGCCTGGCAGCCATTTTTATGTCCATTGAAGAAATTCGACGGCTCGTTCATATCCTTAACAAAATTTTAAATCAACAACAGACTAACAAGAATCAAGTGACGTTATAAAATTGTATACAAACTTACGATCCAAGCACCGTCGTATTCAAACTCGTTGTGCATATTACCCATCATTTCCGTGTAATAGGGCGTCGTGTTTGGATTTGTAAAGTCCGGCCAAGCGGTCGAAACTAAATTCCAGACTTTGCCAATGAATGGCTTCTCGCTGTTGGCATCTTTGACGAAAACGTTACGACGGACTCCTTCGTCGAAAGGTGCGTATTTTCCGCTTCGTTCACCCGCTGAAACTCCAGCGTCGATCAGAGGAATGTAATGCATTCCAGCCTGTCGGTAAAAAAGATTTTTTATTTTTTATTTGATTTAACATCTTGTGTAAATAACCATGTATTTACATCGTGAAGTTCTTTGACGAATTTGGGCAGGTCCTTGAATTTTGTTTTATCATACGTAAAGTCATTGTTTTTGTCCATGTAATCCAAATCGTTCCATTGAGTATCCTGTGATGAAAAATGAATGTTGTACTTGAAAACTCGTTCATGAAATTGAAATTCAACACTTACAAATGGAATGAGAGCGTCTCGCGTTCTTTGCCAGGCAGCTTTGGTCTGTTCCAAGGTTTCATATCCATATTTACACAAATGAAAGCCTAGTGACCAGTAAGGTGGAAAAAATGGCTTCCCAACTATTTCAGCGTACTGTTTTAGCACATCTGCGGGCGTTGGACCCATAAAGAAGTACATATCGAAAATTCCGCCGATGCTTCGATACGTTATTGCAGGCGTTGGTTGCAAAATAATGTCTGAAATAAAAATTTCAATGTCATCACGTACCTGCATCGGGAAAATTTTGTTCACTAACCAAGTACATACCCATTGGGTTACTGTTCAAAAATAAAACTCCATGTGCCTTTCCTGACGATTCTATTACCATATAGAATGGATGAGAGCCATACAGATTTGACTTTATAAAAGAAAAAAAGAAAAATACCATCGTTTAAAATACGTAAGTAAAAAAATTTATATTTAACTTACATTTTCAACAGGTGGTTGATCAGCATTCAACATAGTGAATTTTTGCCAGTTGGTATTCAATTTTAAGTTAGCCCTGTGCTCACCGAGGCCGTAAATATTGTGGGATGGCAGGACAGAACTGATTTGCAGGAATTGATTCGCAAATATAAATCCTCCAAATCCAATCGAATTAAATCTAAAAGCATAGAAATTTAATGAACATCTGTTGTTTGAATTATTCATGATGGTTAAAATGTTTTTAAAAACTTACACGCTTCTCTGATTACCCTTACGAACCACTCTGAAGCCAGGAATATTTTCATCCATTTTTAATTCGTACATGGGATGGTAACTCTTTTTAACACTCGGCTTATCAGCCCTCACAGGAAACGGTGGCTCATATCGTTTCTTGGTAGGATCAAATATCTTTACATGTAAGGTGGTGTCATCAATTTCAGTACTTTCAAACTGAATAAGAGGTAAATCTTCCTTATAATATGAATTATTCTGTAGTTGTAATAATCCTGTAAAATCGTTTCCACTTTTGCTAAAGTTGGTGTATTTGTACAAACTCCAATTTTTCGGATAATAACAGTAAGGCACATCCAAAGGAACTTGTTTTTCATAGTGTAACTCGTGCAAAGCGTTCCAACAACATCCTCTTTGGGTACAGCTTGACTCTGATGCTCCATTTTCAGGATGACAGTCAAACCTCAAGCTGAGTGGTATAAGGTGACACTGATCCCCTGTACCCTCCTCATATTCTCTTAACAAATCACTTTTAGAAAAGGTAAACATATCTTTGATTCTCTTGGAGCCCTGCTCCGTCATAATATTTATATTCTCAAGTTTATCCTTCATGGACTCTTGAATAATGTTGAGCTGTTTCAACTTCATTTCTGCAGCTTGGTGAAAGACATTCAACTCATTTTCGATGTGTTGCTGCTGTATTTTACCCTCTTCCAAGTATCCCATGCATTGCCATAGTACATAAGTTATCAGCGAGAAAGTCGTGATAAGTACAATGTACCTCAGTATTAAATAGGCAGGTGACAGATATGGCAGTACATGTCTGAAAGACATTTTCATTTCTGGTACTTCATACGACTGCAAGCTTTGGGTGTCTGTGATGAGGTGTTCTTGATCTTGAGATGCATCGCTGAATCTCACGTTAGAGTTAGCAAAAGCTGCACTCATGAATCGCCTTACTCTACTCATGTCTGTCGATGTTTTATCTACAATGAACAAACAACTATCTTAGAGATTAAAAAGCCATTACTTGACAGGTCGTAAAACCTTTTATCATTTAAAATTACTTATGTCTAATTAGGTACGTAAAGATTCAATTTATCATTATGAAAAACAAAAATACAGGCCGAGTGTGTAAATATTCACGTAAACTTAACCTTTTAAATTTCACAACAAATATCAGTTGCTTCTATATTTCTTTATAGATAAAATTGTTCGACAACCACAAAAAAAAAATATTCAGAATTAATTTGTATTTTACCTTTCAAGTATAACTTTTAATTATACTTTGCATGAGCTGCAACTGATTATTCCTTAATATCTTTGACAATTTAGATTTTCTCTTGATTATTCATAGGTAAACCAACAAGAAATATATATTGTATAGTTATTGTTTAGTAATGAGCCCCCAAGAGCTTCGGGCCATACAAAATAAACTAATGTAACAATTATAACCAAATACTCTAGTATAATAATATCGTGCACGATCTCATGCACAACGCATAACTGCAACACTTTCAGAGACAATGAGTTGTATGAGTATGAAATATGAATATATCCTATATCTGTATATACGTAACTATACTCTCATCATAAAATTGGCAGTCGTGCACAATCCCAAGCGATTCGCAAATCGCAACTATAAAATTGACGCCCCTCGATTCAACAACGGAATAAAGGAAATTTATATGGTAAATTGTTAAATCAACTTATCAAATTTATACAAGTGAATCATTTTGACTGTTCCTATATTTTGCTTACGACTTTTGGATTTTAGACAATTTAGACATCAGACTAAATATCAGAGAGTGATTAGAGTTCGGTTGTTTCGAGTATTAGAATATTTTAGAAAGTGGAGATGGAGAGAACGTGTATTGTATATTTATATATGACGCTATGTAAATTCTGATTTGCAAATGTCAATTTGGCGTTTTCATCAACTTTTTGTAGGATTGTGTATATTTAACTAATTTCTTTGGGGATATCGTCAATAACAATTTTTTTTTTTTTTATCTACATTTAAAAATTTGTTTTAACTCTACTTTTAAACCACTTTTTGTTTTTAAAAAAATCGATCGCTGTTACTTATTTTAGTCCGAAAAATTCCAAAATGATATGTACCAACAACAGCTATAAACATTTATAAGATTTTTCAGAGATTTCATAAGTTAGTAATTTTCGTAACATAATAATAGTTTCCATTAATGTAATTAATAAAGATTCTGGCTTATTTTAAAGATTTCGTATTATTTATCGTATCGTATTTTCGGCAATAAATTTATTGATTAACTATACATACAAATATCAAACTTACAATGATTTCTCGATGAACTTTTAGTAGCACACGTGGAACTAGGTTTTTCTCCGATAGAAAAAAACATCGCTCGCTTTGTTCCTGTCGAGATAACTTTTATTTCGTGGACAGTACATTAATGAAAGTTATCCTATCTTTTTAGGCACTGGGTGGATATATATTTATAAATATATATGTATGTAAGCCCTGCAATGTTTTTATCAACACTGCATATTTTTATCAGCCAATGACACAGCGCAGTGTAATCATGTACACGTCACTTATATCGTCCATTCGTTCCTGCAAATGTGTGATAAATGAATGTGCACGGACTATAAAAATTGAGATGAATTCTGCTCTTTTCGTCCTTGTTCAAAATTCTTTATTAAATACCTAAAAGTAATAAAAATAATTTTTTTTTACAGTATTAACAATCATTTGCATTTTTGTTCCATCCGTTGCAGCAGAGATTAATTTTCACTGAATTCAAGTTCCATCGCATTTTTGTATAATTTCTACGAATGAAAATAAACAAATTAAATTTCCGACTTACTTAATCGTAATATTTACAAATAGTAAAGATAATTACTTTTAATTATTGCATTTAGAGAAGCAACAGTTGGTGAATCTGGCATTTCGGTCAAAAAATTTTTACCCTCGTCACAGCACCTTGCCAACAAGGGATCCAACGGCAGTGAACCCAAGAACTCAACATTCAGTTCTTCTGACATTTTTTTGGCTCCTCCTGTCAACGCAGGGAATATCTCTGCAGAGTTCTACCAAAAAACATGAGACTTCATTATTAATTTTGTTGGGAAAAAATTACTAATTAGCGCATCAGTTGAGCTAAAAAGTTTGACTTACTTTGCATTTAGGACACACAAAGATGCTCATGTTTTCCACTACACCGAGAATAGGAATGTTTACTTTTTTACAAAAGTCTATTTCTTTCCTAACATCCAACAAAGCAACCTCTTGCGGAGTTGTGACGATAATAGCTCCGGTGATTCCAGCTTCTTTTAAGTATGTCGTTGCTGATAAATGCTCATCAGAGGTACCAGGCGGAGTGTCCAATATGAGATAATCCAAATTGCCCCAATCAACTTCTGATAAAAATTGTCTAATCATGCCTGGAAACAACAGTTGAACAATTATCACATGGCAATTACTGTTAAAAGATTATTTTCGTTGTAGTTTACCATTTTTCTTAGGTCCTCTCCAAATTACTGCGTCGCTAGCACTGTTTAAAAGAAAACCAATAGACATCAAAGACAAGTTGTCCTCTACGTACTGTAAGAAAAAAAAAAAAAAGATAAATATACAGTTATACTTTTAAGTAAACAAACTTCAATGTACGTACAACTGGAGACCATCCTGATGCACTCTGATGGACTTGTTCCCCAAGGGCACCAAGTATTCTAGGTTGAGAGGGCCCACATATATCAATGTCTAAAACAGCAACCTTTAAAAACTCATAAATCAATGTGTTACATGTAACATAATATCACGTGAGACCTACTTTATAAATGTACTTTTGGTTGCATGGAAAGTTATTTATTTTGTGCATGAAACATAGTAGTTAGGAATTAAACGAGCAGGTAAGTAATCAATAAGATACAGGGACTGGTGCAAGTTGACCTACAAAGAAGTGCCAGTCATGCATCTGCCACTGTACAAGTTTATTTGCCAAACTGCAACCATCAGACTCAATCATTTCACCTGCTGATAGTATGTACATTGAAAATCGTACAGATGTTCTTGGTTTGGGCAAAAGAGTGAGTAATTAAACAAGTTTTATGTTTTCGGTTGCATATTGTAAATTTTTTAATTGTATGAACTGGTAGTGCTAGAGAATAACTGATAAAATTTAGAGAAAAAATCTCGAGCTTACGTCTCGGTCAGGATCCGATGCGGCGAGTGCTCTGGATACAAGACATGTCACTGTGCTCTTTCCAACACCGCCTTTGCCTGATAATATAAGAATCTTATTTTTGACACACGAAAGCCTTTCTTTGACTAGTGCAATGCCAGGGTCTGGTAATTTTGTTGCTCCTGATGAGCAGATGCTTTGATTGGGACATCCTGCACAGGCCGATGCTTTGCCCGCAGTGTCACTTTGTGTTCCAGGGCAATCTGCAGTTAATACAATTATTAAAAACAATATGATTAACTGAAAGACACTCGATCAAACAATTATGTAGTGTATACAAACTCTTGCAATTTGCAAAAAAATTTCGTTCCAACAGTTATTAAAAAAAAAAAAAAAAAATTTAAGACTTCAAATGTAAGATCAATAGTTTTTAATTTATCACGTGATGGTATGGATTTTTTATATTGAAGTGTCAAAAAATTGTTTGTTTTTTTTTTTTAATTACTGTGTTAACCTTAAAATTAATAAACGTAACGCCATTATATTTATTTCGACAGAGCTTTTAAATACCATAAAAAATACATTGAACAGTAAAACATTAATTTTTGAAGCAACTATTTACATTTTCTAGCCTAGTAACTCATTAATTTTTATTTATTTTTAACTTTTTTTACTCACGTTCTGGAGCGTCTTGTGGAACATCGGCCATTTTTCATATAGTACTGCAGTTTACGTCACGAAGATAATTTAAAAAAAATATTTATACTCGATTGGTTTAACAATGCGTCTTTTTTATTCCAATAAAATAAATGTGAAATCTTTAGTAATCAATACTTAGAAATAAAAAAAGGCATTATTATTGGAAAAAATGGCACAATAACAAATTGTATAACTTTTTTCGTTTGGATTACATATTATACGCAACTAATGAATGAATAAACTAATTAATAGATAAAATAAGCGGTGTGATTTATTTACAAGTTCTAAGCATTTATTTATTGAATCGTCTAGCAATTAGAAAAATGGAACGGGCTGGGGCCATCAACACCCTGTTTGAGATCATCAGCTTTACCATCAAAAATATACGATTATCCAAAGACTAAATCTTTAGCCTGGCGTCCAAGCATGGGAACTCGAAGCGTCGAATTAGTACCTCTGTGAGTTCTTACAATTTCAAATAGATAATTTTTAATACAATAAATGTATACTTAGGAAAGTGCCAAAGAAAAAAATGGCCACCACCTCTGATTATTTCAATAAATCTTGCCCATTGCCATAGTTGTCGTTGCATGTTGCCTGTAGCCTACTTAATATTCAGAGCTTGTTTTTTTTTTCTAAAGAATTGATACCCCCTCCCAGGATTGCATGGCAGCGTGTTGTGTTATTGATCTAACAGAGTTCATCCACCTTGCATACACTTCGATATTTGTAGTTCCCACTATTCGCATTATTACGGACTAGATACAACAGTTTTTAACAAATAAAACGACCTGTGAATCAATTGAGGTCAAAAGACGGTATTTTTAAAAGGCTAAAATTTATTCAACAAAACCAAGAGACAGTAGTCTTAGCTCAACATTGTAGTAATATACATATAATTTGCACAACAATAAATACAAAGGTCGTCCTTTTCCGTAAGATCTTCGTCAAAGGCTCTGTCGAGATATTCATCGGTCGATCCATTGGTGGGCATGACGACTCAGCCACTGAAATTTCCGAGTCTGGTGACGGGACTGCCCAGGAATTCGCCGTACTCGTCCCAAACGACGCTATGCACGAGATTCACGCCGAACGAATGGTACCAGAAGCAAGTCAAGTTCTACAACGAAGCTGACTCGAATCGCTATTGCTCGGAGAGGATGAGGAGTGACGCTGTAAAGATAATGAGGTGTGTGTTATCATGTGACTAAGTAAAATCTACACAGTGTATACAAATGAATAAAAAATTTTTATGAACTATACAGAGAGGCAGAGGAGAGGGTTCAAGACAGCCAGTACGACACGAGTCGCAGGATAGGCGAGAGGATAAGCGAAGTTACGTTCTGGCGCAACGAGATCTCGTCGGAATTGGAGAAGCAGGTTCAGGAGATCGAGAACCTTCAGGACTGCAGGTCGACCCTCGAGAAGGCGGTTCAGGATATTGAGAATCCGCTACACGTTGCCGAGGAGTGTCTCTTCCATCGGGAAGCGAGAAAAGGTATAAATTTGAGGTCGACATGGTAGGTACGAAAAACGCTTTAAATTATACATTTACGCGCGTTACTCAATTGCACATAGGCACGGAACTCGTCCACGATGAACCCGAAAGGGCATTACTCCGGGAAGTGGAGGTTTTACGAAGTGGTCAAAAAAGACTGGAAAACTGCTTGGACAAATGCAAAGATCAGGTGAAGAACGTTTTTGGGATGTAATATTTTTTTTTTTTTTTTCACACGGCATTTTACTAATCAACACTACTCTTTGACCAGCTCCGAAATTGCAGAATTTCGCAGAATCAATTAGAGCTCGATCTGAAGAATAAAGACAGCGCTCTCAACATTGATCTCTTCTGCCACCAAATATCCAACGCCAGCAGAGGACTTCAGTATTACTCTGGGATAGAGCAATACGATCCTTGGTAAAAAAATATAGCGATTCCAATCGAGTCCAGAGCACAAACGGGGATTGTGTCGAATTGTGTTGTTGTTTGTTTTTTTAGCGTTTCGAAGCCCGAGACTTGGGCCGAAACGGCAAATCGGATCATCCAGAAATCCCAGGCTGAGAGAACAAAGGCCGCCCACCTGCGAGTCGACGCCGAGACTTTGATCAATCGAGTGGCTCAGGAGATGTGGGACTCGTGGAACAGCAGTAACAGCGCTCTGTCTCGAAGATGTACAGAATTGGTGGAAGCTAAGAGCAAACTTCAGCAACATTTGCACAAGGTGAGATCAAAGTACAAAATTGTATAGGCTCGTCAAAAACTACCCGTTTTAATGTGCAGGTTCAGCAAGAAGTTTACGATGTTGAGAAAAACATTGAGCTCTTGCGCAAAGCTATCGCGGACAAGAGTTACGCCCTGAAAGTCGCCCACACCAGACTAGAAGCTCGCACCCATCGTCCGGACTTTGAGCTCTGTCGGGACAACGCGTATATTTGCCTTCAGAGGGAAATAGAAGACATTTACAATCAAGTCGAGCGTATGCACAAAACACTGCGAGATTTGGAAAATCAACATCAGAGATTGCTGAGAACGCGAAACGCTCTTGAACACGATTTAGCACTGAAAGTTGACGCGACGTACATTGACAAGGACAAGGTTTGTGGTTTAAGACGCTCATATCCGGTTAATGCGATGTTCAGATTTTAGAGAGATAGAAAATGTCTAGTTGAAATGGATTTTCTCACTCTTTTGTGATAACTGTTATTGTAATGTTCATCTATATGTTGTCTGTACACTCTTGTTAGTTTTATTGGTTGTCAAGATCATTAATAGTTATGAAATAAATATAATTATAGATCAAACTGGATTAAAATTAATTAAACATTGTTTTATTTTCTATGTGCAAGTCAAGACCTGCCCCAATTTTTTTGTATTTTTTATGTTGGATCTTACAGAAGAAAATTAATTGAAGGATCCACCAGTTTGAGAGAGTGTGTTGGAATGATCTTTCTCAAATAATAAATATTTTGAACACTAAAAAAAATAGTTTTATATATGCATGGTACTTAAGTATACGTACTCATCAAGTGAAAAATCGTTTTTCTTGCAATGTACTCCTATCCTCAATGAAGTTTCTTGATGTAGCTTGGGATAGGTATTTTCAAGCCTTCTCTAGCTTCGAAAAACGTGTACGAAAGTACTATCTCATTGATGTACTCCATCTTTGGATCTTCAGTGAATTCAGGGTCAATGTAAAAAAATACGGGCATGTCGACCTGAAAGAAAAATGAATCCAGTTTTATTTTGGAAATAAGTTTCAAGCAGTTTGATGGGGCATGCTTATGTAACAGGAAAAATTTCAGTATCAATAACCAAAGTTACATAACAAATAGATTACCTGTTCGCGAGGTCCTAGCATTTGTTCTTCAAAGCAAAAGCATTGAATCTTATTGAAATACTGTCCAGCTTCAAAGGGGACAACGTTGTATGTAGAGACTCCAGATATATTAGCATCCGTGGGGTTGGTGGCTGTGTAAAAAGCTAAAACCGTTTCTCCCGGAGCTACTGTCACCTCAGGCTGCTGTGGATGAAAATTCCACGACATTTGTGCTGCAGTGTCAGCATTGAATTTTACAGTGATTAGCCTATGTTTGTTGGGCTTCATGTCTTCTACTTTTGAAGAATCGTGGCCTACAGTACCTCCATAGCTGAAAGCCTAGAAAGAAAGATTTCACATATGCTTAGGCTTTATCACAAATTTTTATTTTACCAACTAATTAATAAACAAAAGTAAAGTAAGAGTTACCAAAGAAAATCTATCAGCAACAATTTTGCAATTATTTAAATAGTTATCTGATTAACCGATCAAATAAAAAAAAAAGCTAATTTAGTTTTATCAATGACATACCTGACAAAATAATCTGTACATAGGAACAGCGGCATAAGTCAAACCTCCAGCCAAAATAGTGAGTGCAGCCAGGTAATTAAAAGTAGTATTGTTTTTAAATCTCGAACTGTCAGACGAGACTTTATTATGTAATGTTTTGTTGACATTAGTAGTGATATTCCTGAAATAACTTCTTGTACACCAAGCACAACTTCTCAAAAACATTGTGTTCTCTTCTGTTACAAAACACCCAACAGTTCATAACCTCCAAGTTTTAATCAACATGCGTATTTCTTTGATTCTGCATCACTCGAACGGATATGTATTCCTCAATAAATCATTAATTAAAGAAAAAAATGTTTTTTTTTGTTATCATAATAACTATTATTAGACGATGTATTCACAATTACAAAGTTTGGCTTAGATAAGTATTCTCGGTCGTTTCGGTGTATGTATGTACATACCTCTGTAACTTTATATATAGGTAAAAACCGCTGTTTGTCGTCTGCAAGGATGGTATACCCCCCCCCCCGATCATAACGATTTTTATTTCTTGAAAAATCCTTTTTTTTCGTACTTACTGCGTGAATTTATTAAAAATATACTTACTTACTTAGGGTCAGTACTTGTAAAATGAGAAAATTAAAAAACAATCACCCTCACTCGTCATCAGTATATACCGACCTTGGTGAACTTTTTTTTTATACGTAAACTAAAAAAATTAAATAAATTGATAAAACCAATATTTAGTTACATTATCTGTTTTATATTAATAGTTTTTGATGATAGCGCCGCAGTTTAACGATTTTGCGGAAAACACCCCAAGCGGCGTTACCACCACGACCTACGTAACTTGACAGCCTCTGATTTTATCATTATGGTAAAGAGAGCCCGGTGTAAGATGTACGTGAAGTTATGTGTAGTAATTAAAGTAATTACTACTAAGTAATGCCATATGGTCGATTTTATTAAACCATTTGAATATCTATATTTTTGGAGGTAGACTTTTGGGTAAAAAATAGATTTGAAACTTGCCGCAAACATCACAAACTACGTTAACTTTTTATTATCTGTTTATAAAATTAGTTGCGGCTGGTTTATAATTGATTAAATGGCTCTAATATAAGAAGTAATAATTATTTGGATCAGCGCCATCTAGCGTAGCGAATTTCTGAACTAAAAAGTAGCCCTAAACTTTTGAACCAGAGCTTTAGCGCGTAGAGCCATTTAGTCAGTTATAAACCAGCCGCAACTCATGATGAAGCTATAAAATAGAAAAACAACGATACGTGTGTTTTTAGCGGCAAGTTAACAATCTATTTTCTACTAAAAAATTGACCTCCTATGTGTTTATACTTTTGAAAATAAATTTTTGAGCATAAGATAGATTGTTAGCCTGCCGCCAAAAACACACGTATCGTTATTTTTTTATTTTATAGTTTCGTCATGAGTTGCGGCTGGTTTATAATTGCTTAAATGGCTCTAATCTTGAATGCTCAGATTTAGAATTTTGGGAGCCACTTTTGGCCAAAAAATAAAGACCGCTAGATGGCGCTGATCCAAAATAATTATTGCTATACTTACAGTAAAGTTACTTTATTAGTTATAAACCAGCCGCAACAAATCTTATAGATAGATAATAAAAAGTTAACATTTTTTGTGCTACTCGCGTCAAGTTTACAATTCATCTTTTACCTTAAAATCGGCCTCCAAAACCATTAATATTCTACTTATCTTATATGGCTCACAAAATCGACAATATTTACAAAATTACAATACTCTTGACCTTTTACCATTAACTACTGAAAGAACAGCCCTTCAACTTTAGATTTCCAATAAACAGTTAATTTATATAATATGTACATAGCAAAATTTGTGTTACAGAAATCGTAAATCACGATCAAATATATACACGTAAATTAATCAGTCGAAAAGAGACAACTGAAGAAAAAAGGTCTTAAAAAGAAGCAGTCACACGAAGAGTCTCCTAGGAATGGAGCATCGGATCTCACTAATTGAAAAATGCATTTATTACAGAGATGTAAATTTTAAGTGTTATAAGTAAACAAAGAACCCAACCTTCTCTGATCAAGTGATTATATCAATTTAAGATTTTTTTTATATTGTAAAATATTATTTGTTACATGTTAATATTTGTTTTAAATACAATTTTTTGCTGAAACAACTCGTGTATCCACAGCAAAAACTGCACTTACCAAATAGATGTAAATATAATTTTACTGTATGAAAAAATAGTTACCTTTTTTACGGGATAAACATGGAAAATCTTGTTTTATACAAGGAGATGTGAATTGAACTAAAATTACGGTTTAAAATATTTTAAAGTAACAGGAAAGTTAATTTTTAATATTTACAAAATAGTTAGAGGGCTTGAGAAAATGCGGACCAAGTACCTGAGTCATAAGAAAAGAAAAACAAAATTATTATTACTTTTTCTCAGATATACCACCTATGTCAGGTCCACGAAATTTCCACTAAATTATCATCACACCAAAAATCCCTTGTGTTGAAAATTCAATTATTATCGGAATGGTAAATGTAATGTTTAATGCAATTCTAATCACCTAAAGTTTAATAAAATCAAATTATTTTACTTGTTAAGTAGTATCATTTTTATTACATACCAACGAGTTCCGTGAATAAAAAATTGTTTTTAAATGGAACTCGGTGAAAAAAAGTTTAATTTAAATGGTATTTATTTAAGTTAAATACATTAAAAATTGATTTAAAATAAATGAAAATTGGGTAAGGTGAAAAAATAAAAGAAATTTAAAAGATGATCGATTTTACTAAATATTTATCAATTATTTGTTTTAATTTTTTCAGCATCTACACATAAATATAAATACATAAAACTAAACTTAAAATAAAAACATAAAAATAAACTTATTTAAGTTTATGAAATTAATTACTTCATAATGATTTTTGGTTGCAAATAAACACATTATTTTAGATAATAATCATGTCGAGACTCGTAAACTATTTTATTTAGATTTTATAAACTCGTAGCAATTGGATAAATTTCTTGCTTTAACATGTAAATATATAAATAAATAAATAAATAATCAATCAAAAGAATAATAAAATTGTTTAAGATAATTAAGAAAATATACGGACATACAACGATTGATTTAACGACGTTTATTCACACAAAATATGTATATGTGACAATTATGTAAGCTTGAATTATTAACATTTAATAATTTATAGATTTCAACATTAGGATTTCATAAAATATCATAGATTTTTAATATTAAATACAAATACTGCCATGTGCAATACGATCATGTGCGTCATGTCCCCACGAGCTTGCAATACAAACTATTATATTAGTATCGACGCCGTGAGTGTACGCAAACATCACTATGAATTTTTTTTCCTTTCGTTTAAATACATAATAATCATGTTCCCTTGCATTTTACAACAAATCTACTATATTTGCGCAGTAAATACATACATGCTAAATATTTTTAAATATGCTTACACATCAACATGTATATATGTGTATATAAGTATTGCGATATGGTCGATTTTATTAAACCATTTGAATATCTTTTTTCACACGGCATTTTACTAATCAACACTACTCTTTGACCAGCTCCGAAATTGCAGAATTTCGCAGAATCAATTAGAGCTCGATCTGAAGAATAAAGACAGCGCTCTCAACATTGATCTCTTCTGCCACCAAATATCCAACGCCAGCAGAGGACTTCAGTATTACTCTGGGATAGAGCAATACGATCCTTGGTAAAAAAATATAGCGATTCCAATCGAGTCCAGAGCACAAACGGGGATTGTGTCGAATTGTGTTGTTGTTTGTTTTTTTAGCGTTTCGAAGCCCGAGACTTGGGCCGAAACGGCAAATCGGATCATCCAGAAATCCCAGGCTGAGAGAACAAAGGCCGCCCACCTGCGAGTCGACGCCGAGACTTTGATCAATCGAGTGGCTCAGGAGATGTGGGACTCGTGGAACAGCAGTAACAGCGCTCTGTCTCGAAGATGTACAGAATTGGTGGAAGCTAAGAGCAAACTTCANTACAGTATATATTATACACCTTGACTAATCAAAATTAAAAAAAAAAAAACCAGGAGAAATTAAAATATTCTTTTTAATCAGTTGTTACTTAGAATAAAGTTTTTGTTTTCACATGAAAATGAAGCGAAAAAAAACCTTTGACTAAACAACATAAAAAAAAAAAGAAACTCCCCTACCCAACAAACGATGTCTTGCCCTTGAAAACCGAAGCTCCGTAAATAGCGCACAGTCCAATGACAACGGCCTGCCGAAGGACCTCGTACTTCAGGCCGTCGATCGGAGTTGTCTTTTTCAGGTACTCGTAATCCATGTAAGACTTGATTCTCGCGTCCCGACCAAAGGCGGATCGCCTCTCCGACGTCGTTCGCTTGTCTCGCCGGGCATCATCGGTGCGAAACCGGGTGAAATCCTCGACCCGCTGAAACTCAAAAGAAGGACGGTTTTACCATATTATTCGCGAATAAACGAAACATCAGCTGTCACGCGTTTGCCTCACCCGTGACGCATCCGCTGCTCCTCGAGCCTTTCGCGAGACGCGAGCTCCAGCTCGCCGCTCGGCCTCTCCTCCCCTCACCTCGCCGATCCTCGATTCTCGAGCCTCCCTGGCCCTTGACTCCCGCCGATACTCCGATCTCGCTCTACCGATCTCCTCCCGCCCTCCTTGCCGATACTCCCGAGCATCCCTGACCGATCTTCCGCGCTCCCGTACCGATCGCTCCTCCGAGGCCGCGCGAGCCACCCGGCTGGCCGGCCGATCGCTTACCGATCTCCTGTTGGCTCTCGCGGTGGCGTCGCGTTTTTCCCGAGAATCGCGCCGCGTCTCGTCGGCTCGGGAGCTCTGGAGCTGGACGCGACGTTCCAAGGACGCGGCTCGGGACGGCGAGCGAGCTCTGGTCGGTGGAGTCCAAGTCGGGCGAGGTGAGGTCTCGGACGGGACGGTGCTCAGGAATCGGCTCGTGGGACTGTAGTTTGGACAGGCGTCCACCCTGGTTGGCCGTTGGATGGTATTTATTTATTTTTTTTTTTTTACATCGGGGGTGGTGAGTATATTCGAGGGTCTTTTTGTTTTTACGAGAGCGAAAAGTGTATCTTTGCTTTTCGAGAAAGAAGCCACTCGTTTGTTGGGGCAAAAAAATTTATGTGGAAAGAGCTATTTAGCGGACATGTGATAACCCAATGTTTCGCGGAAGCTTGCAAAATTTACCTATTTACACCTAAATGAGACGTCGTGAATATATCGATAAAATTACGTTTTTGTGCTTGATCGGGAACATTTTGAAATCTCTCACCTACATTTTTTTAATTTTACTTATATGGAATAATATCATTGAAAAGGCATTTTGTAAAAAATTGATATTCTGCACGGCAAAATTTAAATATTGTAAATAGATCCCTCAAAACTGTATCGTGCAAGTGAAAAAAGATGATTGAAATCGTTAAAAAATAAGTAACAAAATTGATTATCATTGGACATCAAAATCTACATGAAAATCTTAAAGAGTAAAGCGTTAAAGAATAAAATTAACAAAAAAAAACAAAAAAAAAACAAAAAAAAAATGCTACTTTTTGCTCTGGTAATAACATAAATTCAACGATTTAACCGTTATTTATCGAACGTATAAGTAGTCACTCACTCGTGGGGAGCAGCATGCGTGAGCTCGGGACTGGTGAGACTCCCATGTCTGCCCTCCCTGTCTCGGGACACATGGCCCAGCGTAAGACAAGCGAGGGACACGACGAGCAAGCCGATGTACTGCCAGGACCTAACAGGCAGTACGATATGCCTGGTTCTTCGCATTTTTGCTGCGTGCAACGAGGCAATAAGAGGTATTGAGGTGATGAATTTTCGATAAAAAATCTCCATTTGTTTTTTTTCTTACAATTTTTATAAAAAAATAAAACTCACCCTTGAAATAAGATACCTTTGGGGCACGATTGGCCGGGCAAAGTGATAACGAAACACAAGCGCTCGGTTCGTGTGGCAGCAGCTGAAGACGATGGCAGCCTGAGTCCCGGATGTCGAGTGACGCCCCGAGTCCTCGAGACCCCGGGTTTTATAGACGAGGCGATTGCGCGTCGAGCTCGTTCTTTTCCCGATAATACGATTTCAAGAGCAATCCCACGGTTATCAGCGCCGAGCACATGGGGTACAGTTCACTACCCGTTGAGCGACAAAAGGGAGGGCGCGTGGGCGAGCTCGTTTCTTTCGATTTCGCGGCCAACCGGCCGAGTGGAAAATAGAAACCGAACGGATGTATAATACTTACTTGGTCGATGGGGTGTACGGGTGCGTTCGGGAGATTAGTAGCGCGAGTGGGGCGTTATTGGTTAATGGGGTAAATTTATGAAATTGTGGAAATTATAAAAATACAATAACCGACATGACAACAGTTATCGTCCATTTCGTGCCAAGTATTTTTCAAATCATTCCGTTGGTTATTATCCGTTTGGGAACTATGAATTGAATGATATGATGTGATTCAAAAAAATTGTTGCTTATCACTTGCTCGAAAATTTCATAAGTACTTCAAACAAATAATTAATATTGTTAACTACAAGCATGAGTTGGTTGTGATTCATAAAATATATTACCAGTTACCATCGTTACTTTTCTGAGATGTCTTTTGTAACGAAAATAAAAACAAAAAATAACTGATAATAACTTACAATAATAGGTATTCAAATTTAATTTTATTTAAACTTCATTTTGTTTGGGATGCTAAAAGAGCAATGGAAAGAAAAAACGAACAAAAAAAAATAAAAAAATAAGTTACATGTCCAATTTTTCTTGAAAAAGCTTATCTCTTGCAGAAGGTAAGTGTTTCCGATAGTCTTACTTTTAGGATAGAAATTTTTCAGTAGAAAATAAAGAGGGTATATTAGGCATAGTTAAGATAAACGCTTTTCAAAATTATATTCTACAGCCAATGCAAATCATACATATTGTTTGAAATAGTCTAATAACAGTTTTTTGTTATTAATTTTGGCGTCTTCAAAAATGAATTTCTTAAAAAAAATCAAATGCGAGTTTATTTTTCTTGTTTTTTAGTGTCATAATGTATTTAAAATTGAAAACCGCTTTACTAGTGGTTTGTAGTTTAGAAAAACTGGTCCGTCAGATTGACTTGTAAAAGTCTGCACTGCAGATAAACCTCAGAAATTGATCCTTCATATAAAAAAATTTTCTTCAAATCCAATACCTCTCTTTCAGATATTTCTGTTTTGCAGATTGTTGGATCTCTCTGTCTTTTTTTTTTATTTGTCACGTGGAGTTTTTTTTTTTCAGTGAAAGTACCAGGCTTTCAGATCACTGAAATTCAACTGAATAAGATAATCATATTATCGAAAGAACAAGCGGCAATTCATGGGTTATCAGGAACAGGAAAAAAAAAATATTGTCGTTCACTGCTGAAAAATTTGACCTTTCTAGTTTAAATAACATCTAAAGTGGGTTAATTATTTAATTTATATTGGAAAAAGATTTTGACAGTCAAGTTTTTTTTTCGTAACAAAATGTGGGTTTGTTATCAAGTATGTACAATTCGTTGTTCAATCCTAGATTTTATTAAATACAAACAATTTAAAAAGATTCTGCGTTCAAAACGAACACTAGTTTAATTCATTTTTACATTCAATAGATACATTATTTTCCGTAATTCATCCCAGAGTAAAAAAAAATAATTGTACAAGTAACCATTCGAATACTACTTTCATACGTACTACATATTATAAATTGATGGAGTATAATTTATATAACATATATAACAGTTTACATAAATTTTCTTTGTTAAACAAAACAAAAGTAGTCGTTCATTCTTACCTATAGTATTTTTATCATGCATCAACTTAAAAATATATAAATATAAAAATTCAAACCAAAGTCTATAGACATATACATAAAGTTAAAAATAAAAATAATACGTTCAAGAGGACGGAAATGAAATTTGAAAGTTAACATTTTTTGTGCTACTCGCGTCAAGTTTACAATTCATCTTTTTGTTGTCTGTACACTCTTGTTAGTTTTATTGGTTGTCAAGATCATTAATAGTTATGAAATAAATATAATTATAGATCAAACTGGATTAAAATTAATTAAACATTGTTTTATTTTCTATGTGCAAGTCAAGACCTGCCCCAATTTTTTTGTATTTTTTATGTTGGATCTTACAGAAGAAAATTAATTGAAGGATCCACCAGTTTGAGAGAGTGTGTTGGAATGATCTTTCTCAAATAATAAATATTTTGAACACTAAAAAAAATAGTTTTATATATGCATGGTACTTAAGTATACGTACTCATCAAGTGAAAAATCGTTTTTCTTGCAATGTACTCCTATCCTCAATGAAGTTTCTTGATGTAGCTTGGGATAGGTATTTTCAAGCCTTCTCTAGCTTCGAAAAACGTGTACGAAAGTACTATCTCATTGATGTACTCCATCTTTGGATCTTCAGTGAATTCAGGGTCAATGTAAAAAAATACGGGCATGTCGACCTGAAAGAAAAATGAATCCAGTTTTATTTTGGAAATAAGTTTCAAGCAGTTTGATGGGGCATGCTTATGTAACAGGAAAAATTTCAGTATCAATAACCAAAGTTACATAACAAATAGATTACCTGTTCGCGAGGTCCTAGCATTTGTTCTTCAAAGCAAAAGCATTGAATCTTATTGAAATACTGTCCAGCTTCAAAGGGGACAACGTTGTATGTAGAGACTCCAGATATATTAGCATCCGTGGGGTTGGTGGCTGTGTAAAAAGCTAAAACCGTTTCTCCCGGAGCTACTGTCACCTCAGGCTGCTGTGGATGAAAATTCCACGACATTTGTGCTGCAGTGTCAGCATTGAATTTTACAGTGATTAGCCTATGTTTGTTGGGCTTCATGTCTTCTACTTTTGAAGAATCGTGGCCTACAGTACCTCCATAGCTGAAAGCCTAGAAAGAAAGATTTCACATATGCTTAGGCTTTATCACAAATTTTTATTTTACCAACTAATTAATAAACAAAAGTAAAGTAAGAGTTACCAAAGAAAATCTATCAGCAACAATTTTGCAATTATTTAAATAGTTATCTGATTAACCGATCAAATAAAAAAAAAAGCTAATTTAGTTTTATCAATGACATACCTGACAAAATAATCTGTACATAGGAACAGCGGCATAAGTCAAACCTCCAGCCAAAATAGTGAGTGCAGCCAGGTAATTAAAAGTAGTATTGTTTTTAAATCTCGAACTGTCAGACGAGACTTTATTATGTAATGTTTTGTTGACATTAGTAGTGATATTCCTGAAATAACTTCTTGTACACCAAGCACAACTTCTCAAAAACATTGTGTTCTCTTCTGTTACAAAACACCCAACAGTTCATAACCTCCAAGTTTTAATCAACATGCGTATTTCTTTGATTCTGCATCACTCGAACGGATATGTATTCCTCAATAAATCATTAATTAAAGAAAAAAATGTTTTTTTTTGTTATCATAATAACTATTATTAGACGATGTATTCACAATTACAAAGTTTGGCTTAGATAAGTATTCTCGGTCGTTTCGGTGTATGTATGTACATACCTCTGTAACTTTATATATAGGTAAAAACCGCTGTTTGTCGTCTGCAAGGATGGTATACCCCCCCCCCAACAGCTATAAACATTTATAAGATTTTTCAGAGATTTCATAAGTTAGTAATTTTCGTAACATAATAATAGTTTCCATTAATGTAATTAATAAAGATTCTGGCTTATTTTAAAGATTCCGTATTATTTATCGTATCGTATTT